ATCTTCCCCCCTTCACTCCTCCATCTGTGTTTTAACACATTCATGCTATCTAAAAACCGTCAACAGATGACGTGCATACAGAGAGAGATATTACGGAAAATTGCAGGCCTATTATTAAAAAAAAAAAAAATTAAAAAATTACTTTGTGTGTGTGTGTTTAAAGTCTCATATACTCACGAGGACATATATATATATATACACATTTATACATATACATATACACATATATCACCCCGAAAATTTTTATATTAACTGATAATCTTTTCATCATAATCTTTTCAGTTACTTTTTACAATCTGCATTGTAAAAAGCGCTATGTAAATAACAGTAACTTGACTTGACTTGACTTAACAAACTGCATCTTTAGATGCATCAGATCAAGTATGGACGTCACATACAGTAAATGCTTCATATTAGAAATAATATAAATGTCATGATCCAAGCACCAAAGCAGAATGGATGCTGCACTTACACTATACATGGCGGGATTCCTTCTCCTTGAGGATAACACGGTTCACTCTCCTCCAGCTCAGGACACTCGGCTCCTACACCCACCGGGAACTGCTTCACCTGACGTGTGCGTGTCCGCTGTCCCTTACGCCCATTCAGATCATAGCACTCCTTTGAGCAGGCAGACCAGTCCGACCACTCGGTCACTTCACAGTCCTTTGGGATGACACATGCTTGATATGTCACAGGAAGTGTCTGCTGGTTACACTGGCTGTAGGGACACAGAATAAAGTCGGTTATGGATCAATTAATCCAACATTTATTATAACAATGCTGCAGAAACATCTTGCTTGCACTTTTGAGACATCGGAATGAACATCAACATTGTTATTTCTAAACACCACAAGAAAGGGATGCTATTACTTGTAAATTATCTTAAGTAATAGTAATGTTAGAAAAGAAAGAGAAATTATCATCTCAAGCCTGACCAAGCTGTGTTCAACCAATCCCATCCAATTACTGTATATAATTTTGTAAATATATAATAATAAAGATAACCATCTTAATGCTGCTTACACTCTGACCTTGCATCTCACCAGTTTTTTTAATTTCTATCTCACTGCAGTCACTACAGATTGTGATTCAATTTAGATATGTATCAAACTATGATTTTCATGAATTTTAATTAAGAGGCATCAAACGACAGCTTGGCTTTGGGGGTTGTTATGATTGAGACTGTGGTCCTCACTAGAGCTCCTACATGACATGTAAGCAAGATTTCATTTGTCTTAATCAGTCAGATGAGGCGTGGTTGGTTCACAGATCACGTCGTTGCTGTCAAAGGCTGTTGAATTAAATCCAGGCAGAGGCCATTCCTGTACATATATCTGTGTGTGACTTAACTACACATTTAAGTATCTATTGCAAGGTTTATATTTATTTAAGTGCCACTGCAGCGTGTTTATTCAACGTAGGACACGTTTGTGCCACATAAAAATTTGTCCTACTTTTTAAACACGTTTTATGTATAGATGGCATAGGTTACATTGTCTTCGACACGACTTTGAAAGTAACATGAAAATTAATCTTTAAATAATTGAAAATGCAAATAAACAATTATGTATTTTTTTTTACACATGACACATTTTACACATTCTGTATTATGACTGTGCCTCAATTGTGATGTACTTTCCAATACAATCAAGAACAATTAATATGTTTTTAATCCAAAGTTGCATTTGGTCATTTCCAATCAAGTTTGCTCCAATTTCTCCAAAAAGTGTTAAATTTTGTTTAATTATGTGTATTCAGGATTCATACAGGCTTGTAAAGTGTCATTTACACCACCGTCACTTCCACCTCAGACTGGCATTAAAGGGACAATTCACCCAAAAATGAAAATTACCCCATGATTCACTCACCCTGAAGCCATCCTAGATGTGTATGACTTTCTTCTTTCAGACGAATACAATCAGAGTTATATTAAAACAATTCCTGTCTCTTCCATGCTTTACAATGGCAGTGAATGGAGGTAGAAATTTCGAAGCCCAAAAAAGTGCATCCATCCATTATAAAAATTATTCCATATGACGCTTAATAAAGGTCTTTTGAAGTGAAGTGTGTTTGAGTAAGAAAATATCCATATTTAAAGGGGTCATATGATGCGATTTCAATTTTTCCTTCTTTAGAAACCAAAATCTCTAGCTTCCACTAACTGTCATATAAGTGTTCACGAGGGAGTGGCATTTCAGTGGATGATGTAGGACATAGGTGTAGCATAAGCCTTGGTGAGAATATGCTAGTCTCGCGAGAACCAAGTTTTGTTTACAGCTAAGGAAAACCACTCTCCTCTTGGCTTATATGGAAATCTTCCAACATTTTCCTTTACAAATCCTCGTTTTGTACTTCTAATTTGTAACTGGGTTTTTTTTTTTTTGCTCTCTCCTCTGTGCATCTGCATTCACTGTGTGGAGTATTTTATGATGGATGGATGCACTTTTTTGGGCTTCAAAATCTCGACCACCATTCACTGCCATTATAAAACTTGGAAGAGCCAGAACATATCTAGTGTAACTCCAATTGTAATCGTCTGAAAGAATAAAGTCATAAACACATAGCATGGCTTGAGGATGAGTAAATCATGGGGTAATTTTCATTTTTGTGTGAACTATCCCTTTAAAACCAATACATAATTTGAGATATTTGAAAATGACACTGTGCCCATAAAGAAACATTTTTCCAGAGCACAAGTTACAAGCATAATCAAGTAACTATTAATTTGGTTTGACTGGCATTTACTGCACTGCGAGGTCTGATTTTGATGCTTTCTTGTTTCTGACCTTGCCATTCCATACATTTGATCCAGGGCAGGCTGCTGCATTAACACAGTCATCAGAATCAGCTAAGCCTCTTTAGGGATTTCAGCCATCTGTGAAGTCAATGAGTAGCTCTAATGTACTGATCTGCCTGGGACAGTGCACATCTCTCTCCATCTTCCTGTGCTAATCCCATATAACAACAAATACAGGCAGATATGACACGTCCCCATTCTGGCTCTAGAAGGGGAACCTACGGTGAACATGACAGACATTTTTTTTTGCTTCTGAAAGCCTCTTCACAAAAACACAATCAAAGTGGGTGTTGATGGGTCTGTTGCTTGCTGAAATTCACTCTGAAAGTTGCTCGTAGTGATATTCCCATTTCACTTGACAATACCTCTTCAACTAAAGCAGATTAAAAGTTCCATCATGTGAGACAGAATGAGGACATGCGTTGGAGATATGCGAGCATAACATGCTTTTCGAATCAAATGTGTTAATGAAACTTCAATGAAAGACACTCTTAATGACAGGCTGAGCAAACATGTAATGGAAAACCACTTGGCAATAAAAGGCCATATTATCGGACAGTTGCATAAAACTACTTACTGGTATAGCTGAAAATTTATAGGAAAATGATGAGGGACATTTCTGAAGGAAGATGACCATTAAATCTTTGGGTTAGAATTACGCAATTACATTCTGGGCAGGCAGTTACTAATAGGTGATGGAATGATGGGAAGGCAATGGGCTTGGGTCATAATATTGATATGAGAGCATGGCTCCATAAATGAGATTTCTCTCTCTAGTCAGTCTATTACTGACAGACTCTCAGAAACTTCCTCGAGGGAAACTCCACTGCAAGAACTGTTTAAAATGTCAGTTATTATAGCACAGGGACCAGATTAAATTAGCATTGCAGTTCGGATTGTTAACATGCAGTGTAGTCTACAAAGAACATGCATAAATACATAAAAACTAAGAATACATTTGAAAACATGCCTCAAGTTAATATTAATAGCCCTCAGGATCTATAAGCTACTACATGTTTTTCTGTGAAGCACCTTGTTAACTTTGCTAAAGCTGTAATGTGGAGAATAAAATATCAACAAACAACTTGAACGCATGAGTTAGACATTAAGTATACATGTGCGGTGGCGTCTTGTGCTTTGAATGAAGTCTGTTTTTTGTCTTGTGTGTGTGTGTGTGTGTGTGTGTGTGTGTGTGTGTGTGTGTGTGTGTGTGTGAGTGAGAAAGAGCATATTGCACTGAAGGACAGCTTATGTCATGGAGTATATTTGCTGGTAAAAGCAGACTGGTCATATCCCTGTGGTCTAAAACAGACATTACTGTTGCCTCTCTGCTCTCTAATACTTTCTCTCTCACACACAGGAACAGAAGACTGACCAGTTTTCACACTGCAAGGAGAGAACAGCAGAAACATTGGAGGTGGGAAGGAGGCAGTATTGACATATGATGACTAAGTTGATAAGGTCAGTAAAGTCTGTATTTATGTTCTCCCTTAAACTGCCCATGAAATGGCTCAATGATCTCAGTTCTCTTTCCTGTGTTGACATCTTTCTGTTAGGGTTGGGTACAAATATTGATTTTGTGATTAATTACCACACTCATCTCGCAGTAGTGTGGACAGCTCTGTTAATTTTAATAATTGACTTATTTTTAATAGATATACATGTACACTACTGTTCAAAAGTTTGGGGTCAGTAAGATTTTTATTTTTATTTTGGAGAGAAATACTCTCCATTCAGCAAAAAAATACTTTTATTCAGCAAAAACACATTAAAGTCTACCATTAATTTATAATGTAAATTATAATTTCTACTTCAAATAAATGCTGTTTTATAAAACTCTTCTAAGAATCCTGTTTTAAACATTAATAATAATAAGAATAATAATAAAATTCTTGAGCACCAAATCAGCATATTAGAATGATTTCTGAAGGATCATGTGACACTGAAGACTGGCGTAAAGGCTGCTGAAATTTCAGCTTTGCCATCACATGAATGAATTATACATTAAACTAGAATTGTTTTAAAATTGTTTTAATATTTCACAATATTACAGTTTTCACTGTATTTTTTTTATCAAATAAATGCAGCCTGTGTGAAAAAGAGACTTATTTTAAAAACAATAATACATCTTAATCACCTCAAACTTTCAAATGGTAGTATATACATTTTTCATATTTTAAAAAAGACAAATTTTATTATCATTATTTTGAAAGAAAGTTTTTTTTTTTTTTAAATGAAGATTTTTGTAATTTATTAAATTAAAAAAGTCCTTGCATATCTTACAACATTAGCTGACTACTGAATCAGAATTGAATAAAATGTAAATGTTTTCAGAGCTGGAGAATTGGAATCGAATTGGAAAAGCTGTATCATTACCAAGCCTTAGATCCAAACATCTAACTGGCATTGATAGAAGAAAAAAAAAACACTCCAGATAAACTGTTGATTGCAATAGCTTCTACTACATTCAAAAAATATATTAACAAACCCAAGCAAATCACTGTTTTACACACAGAAAGATGCCTCTGAAAGAATAACAATTTCATAACCAAATCATGCATGAAAGATAAAGAAGAAGAGGCTGACCTGAGCGCCACTGTGTTTCCACTTCGGTGAACACACGTCACCTCCCTGGTCTGGTAGCCCACCTGCAGGTCACAGAATTTCAACCCCTGGCGGTTCTGACGATTCCTCGTCCTCTTCTTTTTGATGAGCTCTTGGGTCTCAGGGTCCCTCATCCTTCCCTTCACCCTGACCCTATCCTTCACACGTTCTCCTTTGTTTTCCTTCACCTCCTTTTTCTCTTTGTTCCTGCGACGCTTGCCCTGGCGTTCTTGCCTGGCCTGCCGATCTCGCTTTGCTTTCCGTTCAGGTTTGGGCTCTCTGGCTTCTCGGGTCTGTCGTATAGGTGAAGCCATGCAGGGGCCCCAAGGTCCCACCCTCAGGCTGTGCAGGCTCTCCTCACCCTCGCAGGGGCCCGGCTGGCAGGTGTGGAACTCTGTGAGGTTGGGGCAAGCCGAACCGCCAAAAAGGGGCGGGGCTAGAACCCATCGCAAGCGGTTCTGCAGACCCATCCCACAACTCTTAGAGCAGGACGTCCATGGGGAGAATTCGGACACTACGCAGTCACGTGGGCACGGGATAAGGCAGGCCTGCTCTAACCGTGGCTTGGGCTCAAAGTACTCGCAGATGGCATCTTCTGCGGGAATGCCATCCGATTTGTGCAAGCAGCCCACTTCCCGCGTCTGGATGCCCTCTTCGCCCCGAGTGCACACCGCTGGCCTTGGCACGCCCACACTGCGCATAGACACCGGCACGCACTGGTTCCAGGCCCCTAGCTGCCAGTCGTACAGCTCTTTGTGCCAATCGCACACCCGGAAGCAGCTCTGTTGGTTGCTGGGTCGCTCCGACTGCTGGCAGTTGGTGTGTAACGTGGTCCAGCCCTCGGAATGGGCACACCACACCGCTCGGCTTTGACTTCCCCCCGGACCACACTCGCTGCCCATGCACCTACCCCATGGCCCTAAAAGAGAGACGGAGACAAAAGAGAACAATTCAATAAAAGCCTCATGAACAGATGTCAGTCTTGATTTGCGCTCATGCTCAATATCCTGATCGCATCCGGTTTCACTTCCTGTACAGGTCATAATTAATGTCTGCAGCCTACATGCACTTAAGACTTTAAATAGAGTTAAAAACAGGACATGAGCAGCCAGGAGGAGTCAAATGCCCATTGTCTCAATCAATATTCCTGTATTCCCAGGGACTCCATAATTCAAAACACTCTAGGGAGGTGTGGTAGTGAAGACAAGCTGATTTTACTGATGGATTTCACAGCGTGCCAGAGACATCTTTGTGGAGAGGGTCACAGAGTACAGGGAGAAGAAAGAAAGAGGCCGTCATGTTGTTTTAAAAATTGGTGCTTCCCACACATGCTGGTTTTGACATGACAAAAAGGCAAAAGCTCATGAATATTAATTATATTAAGCTGAGATTCTATTTAATGATGTTTCATTAAATATGGCTATGTTCATAAAAATAAAAATACTTAATAAAATAAATAAATAATTTAACATTAAAAACAAGAATAAATAAATGTAATGTATTGATCAGGATATCTGTTCTCTTAAATGAGTATCAAAACAAATTTAAACAATACACTGTCTTAAAGGTACAATATTGGTACCTAGAGAAGTAATACAGTTACAAATTACAAAAAGTGCCACAAAAATGATCCATTCCCAGAAAGGCCAAAAATAATTACAATTATATTTTCAATAGAACATTGAGTTTTACACAGTTACTTGAGGGACCAATTCAAGCGCTCAAATGCATATGAAATTGTGACATATTTAATTTAATAACTTACTACATAAAATCTGACTACTTCCAACATCTGCCACTGCCAGTCCCCCAGACTTTGTTGAGTAGCAGCTCACTATTAATAGGATAGTTCATCTAAAAATTAACATTATGTCATCATTTACTCACCCTCAAGTTGTATGATTTACTTTCTTCCGTAGAACACAAAACAAGATATTTATGAAACATGTTTTAACTGTTTTGTCCATACAATGAAAGTCAGTGGGGTCCAGTGTAGTTTTGGACAAAGAAAGGAGTAAGAAGAAAGAAAGTCAAAGAGATTTTGAATGAGATGAGGGTGAGTAAAAAATGACAGAATTTTCACTTCTGGGCGATCTATCCTTGATGAATCATTGGTCTAATAGTAATATTTTTGTTTTGTCTCATGAGGATGGGCTATTCTAAGCTAAAGTAACACCCTTAAACCCCATTCCCTCTGCATCTTCCAATTTTTCAGTCTCTACAGAGCACTAGAGACGTAAGCACACAGTCTAAAGCAGTAAATCAAAGCCAGCTGACAGATGAACTGAAATTCAGTTTGACTATTTACTGAGGTCATGAAGGAAAAAAGCATTTTATACCAAGTGATGAAGTGTTATATTGCATCTCTATTCTCATATTTCTCATTCTCATGATATTCCATAACCATCACCTGAGGTCATTTCATTTGATTGTGAAGCACGGCAGAGATCTTCTCGAAAGAATCTTCTCTCTCTGACTACAGTGGTTCATTATGCGCTCTGGTACCTGTTTTATAAAGTGCCTGGGCCAAGGGGTGATTTATTTAATAGAAATTAAGGCCATTTGAAGACCTACTTTATGACTCCACTCGATAAGGACAAGACAGGCCGATGGAAATGTCAACGGAAGAAGCAGCGGGCTAAATTAGCCTACAGCTGCAACCACAAGGACCAGGTCAATACAGATCGATACCAACCACAAGAAACTGCTTTGGATACAACAGACAGAGCCACCACAAACCGAATGACCTCAAACACCAGAAAATGATATTCATATGCTCCATGCACTCACATGTAGTATTTTTCCCAATACAACATTCTGATTTAATAAAAAAACTAGCGGCAAGTAATTTCCGACTTATTCCACAAGCAGTTTGTCACATGGTTAGCCACTGTAAACTCCAATTTTCTGGGGAAATCAAGAACAATTTGATTTTGAGAGCAAGAGGAAGATTAAAATTCCACACAGGTGAACATGTCTGCATTACACAGTCAAAACATAACCTTGTGGGTTAAGTACAACTTAAAACTCAATCAATAGCATTTGTGGTACTGTTAAATACCCCAAAAATTAATTTCCACACTTCCCTCCTTTTCTTAAAAAAAAAAACATAAATCTAAATTACAGTGAAGCACTTACAATGCAAAGGAGCCTGTTCAAAAAAGTAAATACTCATTGTTTCAATAGTATAGTCATAAGACATACTATATGTGTTATCATTATTTTAGTGTAAGAAAAAAATCAGTTTTTAGAACTAAAAAAGTTCTATACGATTTTACAACTCTGTTGCCATGACATTGATACACTCTAAAACAAGACTGTAAAATTATAGTATCAACAGTTATACAGCTCAGATATAATTTTCATATAAAAATTATTTTAAGTTATTTTATTAAAATATAATCTTCATAGTTCTGCTTTTAAATCCTCCAAAACTTTGCCCCTCTTCACTTCTATTATAAGTACCTCATTGTAGCTCAGATTTTTTTTTTTTTTTTAAACAAGAAATGACTTGAAATTCTTCCTCTTCTTATTTTACATTAAGCCACAAAGACTGTTGTATTGAATCTGGAATATTCTTTAACTAGAGCTCTATCTCACAAACAACTGCATGTGTTTGTAATGGAGCTCCCCAGAGAGAGCCAGCAAGAGCTTCTTCATTCACAACGCCTGCAGCTGCAGGTGCTCAGAATAATTTATGAGCATGTCACAGGGTGATGTGGTCATCTACAGGCCAGGGGACACCAGGGAGACGACAGCAAAACACTATGCAGGACTGGGCGGCACATCACAGGAGCACGATAGAGTCATGCCCGCAAATTTTAGAAAGGTCAGAAGAGATGAAAAGGCAGGAATGTGGGAATGAGTAAGAGAAAGAAGATGGCAGAAAACGGATAAAAGAAGGAGAAGGAGAGAGGTTTATGGTAGATAAGACTTCTTTGTTTATAGGCTGTTGCTCCAGCTGTTAGATCTACAGCCGCAGGGCATCAGTAAAAGAGCTCATCAATTTCCCTGTCTGCTCATCCACCTGCCACTCACTGATTTTTATTATCTCTTATCACACAAACATGGCCCAAATATACACACATATGGCACACGAACTGGCCGTTAACAGATGTAAACATTGTTTTCACTTAAACTCAATTTCTGAAAATTCATTAAGCAATTTAGAGACTTGCGAGCTAGAACGTTGTTGTTTTGAATATTGATTGCTACAGATAATTACAGCCATGCTGATATCCAGACCAACAGAGCAATTGGGAGTATGACATTGCTTTTTTACAATTAAAAGAAAGCCAATGAATGCAGAATTAATTGACTGATTAATCTGTGTACTGAATGAATAGGCTTCATGAATAATTCAGTGACTCACTCATTAAGACATTTTGTTCTTGAATGAATCTGTTTTTGACCTAATCGAGTGAGTCAGTAATTCAGTAATTCACTCGGAAAGAAATGTTTCATTCTTGTATGAATCTGTTTTTGATCGAATCAGTTGAATGAATGATTCAGTGACTCACTCATAAAGACATGTTTTGTTCCTGAATAAATCAGTATTTTTGAACAAATCAGTTGAGTAATGATTCAATGACTCACTCATAAATACGTGTTTTGTTCCTGAATGAATCAGTTTGAGACAAATAAGTTGAAAGAATGATTCAGTGACTTTCTAATGAAAAACTGTAGACATGACAGTTTATATATGTAGATATATATATTTGGTAGCTAGGGCTGCACGATTAATCGAATGTGATTGTCATGCGTATCTTGTCAGTAAAGCCAGTTCTGTGATTAGTAGTAAATCTCCAGCATGTGCTTTCAGATGGAGCAGCATTTACTACACAGAGCCGTAGTTCACTGACAAGCTATGCAAAATTGCGTTCATAATCGCGCGATTATGAAATCAAAGAAATCGTTCTGCAAGTATGCAACCTGTTTGCGTAGCTTGTCAGGGAACTACAGCTCTGTGTAGTAAATGCTGCTCCATTTGAAAGCACGTGAAAATACCACATTTAATAACATGTTTTTACACAAAAAACTCACTTCATAACATCAGTCGAGTGTTTGAAATAAATCCTTCTGTGAGATGATCAGAATAAGGCACGCAACATATTTCATAGTATTCTAAGCAGTGATAAAGGCTATTAGCATTCGATTAGCATTGCATTATTATATACTTTATTATAATAAAATTATAATAAGAGAAACTCAGATAAACCATATATTGTCATAGTCGTGTGTTTATTAGTCACGTTGAATTAAACAAAGCAGTTAAATTTTCTGTTTATTCAGCAACTGTTATAGGCATTTCATGGGTTTCTTCTGCAAGGCGTATTTGGAGTTTCCGCGCGAGAGCGCCCTCTGGCCTTCGGATGGAGATTTACTGCTGATCACAGAACCGTGCTTCACTGAAAGATATGCATGACAATTGCAGCTTCTGTCGAATCGCGATTTATCGCCTTTGCGATTTAATTTCGCTTAATCGTGCACCCCTATTGGTAGCTGAAAACAGGATAGATAATGGATGGATAATCAACCAGTCATCAAAAAATAAAACCTGATCTTTTTTTTTTTTATAATGATGGAATGACTGTACATCAATGGCAAAACAGTTATGGAACTCTTGATATAATAAATCAAAGGAAGCTTTTTAAAAGCAATTACATTTAGCTCAAATATTCTCCCATGAGTACAAGAAATCCATTATACAATTAATTTAGTTTTTCATTTTTAATCAAACACAAATTCTCAAAGGCCTTCATTAGTTCAGTGAAGAGAAGCAAGTGATTGTTGAAGGTTATGAGATGTGTTTTTCACAGATATGTTTAGGTACAGTAGTCAGCTTTAACTGTCTGAGGATGAGAAGACTGAGAAGAATAGAAAAAAGAGAGATGGAGGGAGGGCGACTGCTCGTATGTA